ATGAGCTTTTTTTACAGAATTATGTAACACATGACAGAAACAATTGCCTAGAATAAATTACACAAAAAATCAGCAACGAGTACAAGAACATTAATATTGACTTGACTGACCTTTTTTTAAATGAGGCCAGCGTTCTTTGAATAAACTGTACACCGAATGATGATCACCAAAGTTGACACTGGCATTGTCAGCACCTATACTAGTTAAGTTTTCCATTTTCAAACCATTATCTTCAATGACTGCAATCGCATTTTTGAAAATAGCATTTGCTGACTCGTGTGAATCTTCAAGAAATGAGATTAATCCTAAATAGAAATGCAACACAAATTTCTACTGAGAAAAAGTTTGATCGACATTCATTCGTAGCTTACCTCGCTTCACACCAACGATAGAAAAAAATTGCACAGTAAATGGATATGTTTTACATGTACCTTTGGTCGAAGCATCAAATGATAATGAATAAAAGCGCGCATTCAATAATTCATTGATTAAATTTTCTGTGAAAAATGGTGCGAGAACATTGCATACTATTGCTCTGGATTTTGTTAGACCACAAGCTATGGACTTAGCAATAGATGATGACGTATTAAAAATTGCTTTGGTCAAGTTGATCGTGCATTGCTGTGAACGATAGCTGTGACCATGCCTTACGTCATGGTAAACAAAAGCCGCCTCAGCGGCTGATATTTTGTCCAATTCACTAGTTAGCGTCATTACTGATGTAATTAATGCATTACTTCCAAATGATTTCATATTCGTACTGTGCAACTTTGAAGACATATGTTTATTTACATCAGTTTTACCACCATTGCGAATCGAGAATGTTTTTAGACATGCCTTGCACCGAGCAATCGTTACATCATGCTTGACTTCTTCCAACCATGAAGAATAATCGCTGTTTAACAACCAACTTTTATGAAAAGTACCTTTTGTTTTCTTCTTTTTGTCGTTGTTTTTCGATACCACTGTTGATGTAGTTAATGTTTTGATTTCTTCCTCTGGTTGTTGATCATTGTGGTTATCTTCTTCCGAATCCAAAAGAATATCATTGTCATTTGTGATTATGATATTTTCGCCACCACCTTCACCAACATTTGACACGACTGACATTTCTTTAATGCTCAATCCAGAAAATGTGCAATATCAAGAAACGAGAAAGCTTCTTTAGTGTTCACTTTGTTTATATATTCAATTCTGTATATCACTATTCTTTTTAACAAGTGTGGTGAGATGGCGGATTTTTTTGAGCGATGAAAACAGGGAAAGGGTATATGTCTGTCTAATGACCCGACCGAAGACAGACTACAATCAATATCTCTGCTATTTAACCTTGCCAAATGCTTTGAAAAAATCGTGGCAGAAAGAATCTAGAAATGGTGCGTCGATAATGAAGTGAGTGTTGTCGAATAATCAGGACCCACTGCGCATCGGCGTCTTCAAACCCGAATTCTTTCTCTCGTTGAAGATCTACGTCTTACCGTAGCCGCTTGTAATAGACCGGCTTCATTGATCTTCATTGATTTTCTAACTGCATTTGATAAGTTATAGTGCCCGACACTCTTCAAAACTCTGGAGGATCTAGATATGCCTATGGATGGCTGAGAAACCGTTCTACGACGATCAGTAATGCTACTTCAGAGTCTAGGCTTTTTAGGACTTTAGTGAGTTCGTCCAGGGTTCCGTTTTAGCAGCGTTACTCTTTCGATCACAGAAAAAACTAGATAGCTTTCCAAAAATCCTTATTTCCCACAGGTAGATTCAGACGAATCTCCGAAATGGAGCATGGTAAATTGATTCTACCAGACTATCTAAGAAACGTTGAATCAGAACAATGTCGTCTTCAAAAATGCTACGAGTTGAAAAAGTATTTATCTATAGTATAATAAATGCAAAGCTGACCATTAATAACGCTGATCAATAAAAGAGTTTTATCTCTGGCAATAGTACTGCAGTTAACTATATGCTTTCCTACCCTCACCCTTTAAAACTCTAAGAAAAGATATTCCAAACTTATTTTGTACACTTTTTTTCCCCTAAGTCCGTATAATGTTTGACTATAAGCTTTTTCGGCTATCTCTTTTCCTAACGATATTGAACAGGTTTTAAACAATCTTCGTTTTTAAGGATGTGTACACGAAGGTAGCATAGTTCTCTAGATCACGAGGTTAGATGGAGCACAGCATCGCAGTACAACAATCATCATCAAAGCTTTCATACCTAGATAAAAAAATATATAGAAGATTGTTCGTCTCTCTGCAAACATGTTGTTACGAACCTCAACAGTTCGTCTTCTGTTCATTCACATGCCAGTCCATTAGACCATAGTCCATTATTTTTCTCTTTGTTTTTCTCTAACTTTTTTTCCCTCTCTAAACAGTTCCTAATATTACGATTTATGGTAACTCAACTTTGATATATGTGATATTCAAAATTTAAATGCTTTTTTTGCGATAACTTCTCTGGTGTTTTATGACCATATGTGTGTGAGCTCATTTTATTTTAAATACGAGCCAAAAGGTGTGTGATTATTTTGTCAAAGAATTTTTTTACGATCTTTAATAAAAGAAAAAAGAAACAAAACAAAAAACAAAAAACTGTCTGTGCTTATTGATTAGGTTGTTATTATTGTTATATCTGCATATTTGTTGTTATTGATTTATCGATCTCTCTCTCTTATTTTATTTTGATGTCGATCGATATTACATTCTTTTTCGGAGGGGAAGGGTGTTATGGTGGTCGGACGTGCCCACCACCGTATTAATCGCAAACATCTTTTTATGATCTTACAAGTTTTCTCCTATTTGTGGACACTGATCTATGAGATACTTCTCTAAGTTAATTTTTTGTTGGTTCAAAGTCAGTTTATGTTTGTGTGAGATATGTACATCCAAAATCAATTTCTGTTATCTCACTCGAAAAAGAATATTTTCGGAAAATGTTCTATATATTTATGGAATCATCTGTTGTTACCACACAATATGATTCGAAACCCATTTGTCTAGGTTGATTTATTAACACAGATTGATCAAGGTTAAGAACAAAGTTGAAGAAAGTTTGTGATTATTAAACGAAACATTTTTTATATTAGTCCAGAATTACTCTTGGTTGGAAAAGGAAAATTTCTCTTCTAAACCCTTGTTTCCAAATACAGAAAAGAAGTTTGATTCGCTATTAGCCTTAAAAATAGTCGTAAAACTAATTTACATTTCTCTGATTCTATAAAAGCCCTTTCAATCAAAACCAATAATATATACAGAATCAGCTCATCAACCTGCATCGAGCCATGTACTACGTATAATTGTTAGTTAGTCTCAATCAGCGATGCAATCAGTACTGGTGTATCGGTACCGGTATACCGGCATCAGTCCATCTGTGACATATTTTTTTTACAAAAATTTCATTCCAACTACTTAAACGTTCTCGGCTTATATAAACTTCTTAATTTAAAATACTGATTGGATTGCTGTTTTCGTTAAAAACAAGCGTGTGAAAAATCAGCTATACATAAGCAAAGTGAAAAGATTAATCCTATCCCTTTGATAACACAATTGATCAAAAGAAGAGTAATCGATCTTTTTCGCTGAACATTAACAGACTTCTTCACATGCATGAAACATGATCATAACTTCATTTAAAAAGGAAAAAGGACACTGATAAGTTGTCTACAGATATTCAAACAAAATAAAAGCACAAGAATTTGTACTTGTAAACATTGATTTACAATTGATTTTGAAAAAGACAATGAGAAGCCAGTGCCGACCGATAAAACGGTCATCGGTGTACCGGCCGATAAAACGGTCATCGGTGTACCGGCACCGGTACGAAGTTTGTATACAGGTTACGGTACCGGTATCGCATTTTTGATACCGGCTACACGCCTGGTCTCAATCACTATTGAGACTGTAGTCGGGATATCTAACACTCTTTGTCTTCACAAGATAATTACTTCGTTTCTTCGCGGCATATGTCACTACATATCTGTTAATTTCGCGAAATCTTTAGCTCTGAATTTGGAGATGTTTTCTTGAAGAAATTTATTTATGAATTTTCTTACTGTATGAGGCATTTTAGTCAGTGTGCGATTGCCAAAGCCATTTTCAGGCCTGAGCTGTACTTCAGTTCCGTTAAGAGTCGAGTGATTCGGAGATAAACGTCTGGTGTAAAAATAGCGCTACAAAATATTGCAGGTTCAAATCTTCTAAACGTTTCATTTCTCATCGTCATCATCTTCTTCTGCCACATCAATTAGTTTTAATTCGTGCTCGTGCTCTTTTTCTAAGCATCCTGCACAAAAATCATAGTTACCACATGTGTCACAATGAAATCTGAGACCAACTATCGGAGACATTCCACATCCATCACAGACGATAGTTGACCAGACAAATTCTTCAGGTTTTATCGACTCATGTTTTGCCTTCTCACCCTTTGACCAAGCATCTGCCATGATATAGTTCATTGGTTTGTGTTCATAGACACCTTTCTGTTCACCAGGGCCACTAGTCATAGCTGAACCATCCAGTTTTAGATCTCTCATGTTCATGACCCTGTCGAATATGTATTCAATTTCTTTATCTGAAATAACAAAAACAGAATCAGAAATGCCGAATTTCGTTAAGGATATCGTATTGCATAAGCGCACGCATCTGCTGCACATATCCGCGCACATCCTCATTAAATTCGCGATGGTGGGTAACCGCTAGCAAAATATCAACAAATTTATGTAAAACGCATTTAACTGAATCAAAATTTATTTTGCGTTTTTTTTAAGACTGTCTTTTAGTTTCAGGGCTTTCGTCACGCACAGTAATTCTCGACAACGATACGTCGGAGAAAGCCTTTTCTTTTTGACTTGTTGATAACACCTATAGCTAGGAGTTGATAGAGTTCGATTTTTAAACTATGTTGCTGTTTTTTATAGAAATGCGGATTTCTAAGAAACTTTGTAAGGATTTTTCGGACTTTAAAGTTCTGCTAAGCATCAGAAATCAGAAAATGAGAAATTCAAAAATCGGGCTCTGTAAACTCCTAGGCATAGGTGTTTACTGCAAAACAAAACCAGCCCGAGCCCTCTATCATCTATCTGAAATGAGAATGCTTGTGTGCGGTAGACGCCTATTTTTGACTCTTGTTGTGGCAACGTCTCACGAACAGTTGCTAGTAGAGCCAAAAACAATTTCGTCACCACACTTTGACATGGTCAGCATTCCCTGAAAGTTTAGGTATTTATTAGCAGTTTAGATCTAAGATTACGAACTAACTATTTCCTGAAAAATACTATGTCACAGAGCTTGGTTCTTCCTAAACGTGCACAATGTAACTTTTTGCGAGGTTGACAAGTATATATATATATATATTTATCTTGATATTTACTTATTACTTACTTATATACTTATTTTGATTCGCCTTGTAAGCATCCACATATGATTCCAATTGGACCGTCTCATCACTACTGAGTGAAATTTCATTCTTTTTATGGCTTAATTTTATTTCTTCTATTATTGCATTGGCTGCATTTATAAAGTTGGATACGTGATTTCTTTTAAAATCTGTTAACTTTGCATAACAATAATGCATAAGAAATTTAAGATTTTTTCCACCTTCTGTATGTTTAGGTAATGTCGAAATCAATCGTTCGAGTGATAATAGACGATCGAGTGTAGAGGCGTCATCATTGGAATTATTTTTCATTCTAGTAATCACACAAGTAATTTCGTTTGCTTCCGGATCACTGTCTTCTCGTAATTGTAATTTACATATCGGCTTTTTGTATTTTTCATCATAATAAAAATCTAAAACTTTAAATATTGAACCAGGCATAAATAATACTTCATTTTCGTCGGCGTACTGAGCGATATGTGTTATATTATCAAACGGTTTTGTTTTAAGACGAAGATCAGCTTCTATTTCGAAGATTATTATTGGACCAAACATATCTGCCACATGTATATCAGTACTAGTTGATAAAAAACTAGTTGTTGTAATAAAGTTGTAAATCACGAACAAAAAATCCAAATTTTAATAAATTACGGATATCATGGTTTCGAAAAGCGCCAAAGGGTCATTCTTTAAGTGTCTCCCTGAAAAGAAGTCCAGCGATTCAACTCTTCATTCTATCTGAGTCTCGCAGTTTTGGGCCAACTTTCTTTCGCTTATAAACGTTCGGTTCCAAATCTTTTTCCAAAGTGCATATTTTTGCATCATACTGCTACAGTCGTTCTTGTATCAGATAAGCATTTCTGAACTTTGTTTACTCTTCTCCCTCTTCAGCCTCCGGGATGAAAAATTCACAACTGTAAACTGCAGTATACGTTGATATACGGCGGTCGCACACGATGATGGCATACGATGATATGTAAACGATAAAATACGATGAACTTAGGATAGTCGAATAAGATCTTTTACGGCAGGTCGACCTTTTAAAAAAAAATATCAATAAAACGTCGAATACGTCAACGTACAAGAGCATGGTATACAATCGTAAACTGGCGTATTGGTGGTTTATCAACGAAATAGTCGCTATAAACGGCAGTTAAAGCCTGAGTCTCATGTAAAATTGAAATTTAAAAGCGTTCTTCGGAGCCCCCTCAATAAGATGCTTAGTTAAAGAGGAAAATCCTAATTACGGTTTTTCTCAAGAAGAAAATATTGAAAAAAATTTTGTAACTGATAACAAAAAGAACATTTCGTTTATCAAAACTAAAAAATTTGTTAGTTTGACGAGAAATCATGAATAAAAGTTTCGAAAATAATCATTGCGAATATTCTTGAAAACATCTTTTTGTCTTCTTTGAAACGCTTCTTTTGTTGTTAACAGTTTAAATCCGCTAAATGCTTAAAACCTTTTACTTAACGTTTTACTTTATTGAACCCCTTTCTCAATGAATATAGGTTTTGTGTACCAATTTAGAATAGACTTCACATTAAGCGCTAGGAAGTTCCAGAAAGCTTTTTGGAAATCAGCAAATTCTTAAAAGATATCCATGGCATAATTACGGTTAGGTACAATCACAGAGAATAAAATTTACGGTCCTTCCACAAATGAAATCTTTTTTATTATATTTACACGACAAACTTAAAAAATGTTTCTTTACCCATAAAACGAAAATTACACTCTCTCATATAGTCTTTTACCGCGAACCAAAACTATAGCGACGAAAAAAGGCAGTCCAAGGAAATGATAAATCTTTCTAAAACGTTTTAAAGCGGTCGAGAGCGTGTCGCGCACTATTTTAATTTGGCAATCAAAATTATTTTTCTTTTTTTCTTATCAAATTAGAAAGAACTTCTAAAAATACGGGTAAATGTTTAATAGCATCTTTTAGAAATGGATTAGTCAAAACGAGAGTATCCACAAAATTTTGTCGCTCGAAAAAGTGATCAGTTCACAATGATGTCAGTACGTTTCAATTATCTTCAAACATATCAAACCGAGGCTTTCGAATTGAGACCATTTTTTTGTTGACAGTTATTGGTTGAATTAAAAAAGTGGTCGCAATTCGGAATAGAAAATTTTAACTGGTTAGCCACCTTAATCTTTCTGATAAAATACAAATTAGAATTACATGTCACAGAAAAGAACAAAAATAAAACAATACGAAGAAACAGAACTGCATATTAATGACTTAGTTTATACTACAATTACAAATCATTTTGTCAATGATGACCAATATTACTGTTCACTGCATCTATATTTTGTAGTGTTAATGAGTATTTGTCAAACCAAAAATACGCCTTCCCACTACTAGCATGTATAAAATCAATCAAACGACGGATTATGGAAGGACCAACAACTCCAATACCTCAGATTTATGATCAACATGTAAAAAATTTGTGAGTGTTTTTCGTTCACACATTAGAAAAATGTGCCTTTGATGTGTCATGTGATTTTTTAGGGAAGAAAAAATGGAACTACTATCGTTGTTCCAGTCTTTGGTTCCATTAAACAACAATTTTATGATACTCGTCTTTCTGTATTTCCATCACTACTAGCCTTGTTAAAGTTCACGTTTCGTTCATTGAACGTGAACGCTAAAGTACGTTTGGCATTCTCTGAACGTGAATGCTAGCGCTGCTGTTAACGTGAACTTTCTCTATACAAATGGCGTATTATTGCGAAAGGTTGTCATTTTCATTTTGCACAAAACGTATGGAGAAACGTGAAAAACACGGATTAGTGAAAATATTTAATCAACATGAAGATGCACGTCGACAAGTAGCTTATATGATAACATTACAAGAGGGAAAAGGCAACACTATACTACACTTTTTTCACTACAGTAGTGACTTTGTAGTGGTCATGGGTAATGACCAGAAGTAAGCAATAGATGTGCTTCTAGCTCAATGCATTTCGAAGGTCATGCTTCTACTTTACAGATTATTGGACTGATATGGCACATAACTTTCTCACTTTTTAAAAATATAAAAACTTTCTCTTAGACATGTGCTTAGATATCAAAGAGTTAAGTAATAACAGATCCTATTCTTCTGGATTCTTCAGTCAGAAAAATAGAAGAAAATCCTTTGTTGCGCACTGGATTATGCATAATAAAGTCTTTTTATGTTTGTTTATATTGTGGATTCTTAGTTTGTGTATGTCTGAGAACGTGTCTCTCAGGTTTTATTTGTCTAATCAAAACTTCATTAAAAAACAAGTTCTTTTTGTGGCAAAATGACTATTGATTTACAATGGATTATTATATCACGAATATAGAAAAATACGAAAAGATAAGGCATTAGCATCAATGTAATCTGATCAATCTGATTTAATATGTAACTGATTACATATTAAAAACGTATATTGAAGATCCAAGATATCCAATTGATTTTTGGAATCATTTTGATCTTATTGGAATAAGACCACGTATCAATAACCATGTAAAGGATTATCATGGATAATTAAATTCGTGAGTATTCCATAGAACTTCAAAAATTTTATTATATCGAAATCAACTGATCGGTGAACAAGACTTTTTACTGCATAGATAAAGCAATACCGTATGCAGATCCCTTTCCAACTGTTTTATACAAACTTTTAATATTTATCCTAAACAATTTTATTCTGGCATTGCCAAACACATCCGTACCTTTGGGCATGGATCAATCATATTCAAGCATGTAAAGAATCAACAGTAGTAAGATATGAACAGGAACAAAATCAACAACGTACAACACGACAAAGGCAGGCAAGAAATATAACCAATGATCATCGATTAAATTAAGCAAAAAAAATTATTTCTAGCAACTTAAATTTGGAAAATTTTCAAAGCAATAACACGCTCATTAAGTTATTATTACTTTGCGTTACCGGCCTTTCTTTAAATGCTAAATTTTTATTATATGCACCCTAATGCTTCTTCTCCCTTTCGAAATTTACTCTTGCAACTTTGCGCAAGCGTCTTGTTACTGTACTCTTCTAATCGAAAAGAAGAAGGCCTCTATAATGCTGACAGGTACTCTATTTTAGAAAATAAAGTGCCAAAAAGTAAGTAGTTTTTACCTTTTCGTATTTCTTCCAGCGATCATACGGCATTTCATCGATGCCGTAAATATGAATGGCAACTAACTGTGGTAGATCATGAACATATCGAAGAGTAATGTAGGGAAAACAAGACTGAGTAGCAATAACTAAAATAATATTTTCATCTTCCATTTTTTTAATATAGTCTTCACACATTCCAATTTTGTTAAATGTTTTAAGAGTGTTGTACTTTGTACGAAGTGTCTTGAGTATTCGTTTATTTTCTTCTTCTGTCAAGTTTGCGTCAGATGTAACCAGCCATACAACTGTAAATGGTTGAATATCTTGAACATTTTGGTTGAAGTTCTTATGTATGTGAGAAATTACTTCATCTTCCATTGTCCGATTGTTTAATCTAAAGGCAGTATACTTCTTTGGATTTATCTTTGTTGTTGTTTGTCGTGAGATTTATGCACAGCTGAACTTAAGAAAAACGCATCATAACAAATTTGCACGTGATATTCCAAAGTTATTGGGCATTACCACAGTTTGAAAGGCGATTAAACGAAGACTAATTAAAACTCTACTATGAGTTGTAAATTAACAACACACTTGATTACGTTTGAGAAAGGTCAACATGAACTGAATTTTTAAAATTTTCTCTTTCTTGATAATTTTATTTATATGGTGTAGCGTTTCAGCTTCAAAGATGTCTTCATCAGATGTAGCTGATCAGATTGAATATTCACAATTAGTGTTATACAGAAATTTCTCGTTTCTCTTTTATATTGATAGTGTTCTTTCTAGAGATTCGGACTCTGAAAACCCTCCGAAAAACCATGATGAAAATTTTTAAATGCCACCATTAGATTCACCATGGTCGAAAACCTAGAGAACATGGATTTTCACAATTTCTGAACACTCGCAGATGACTGCAAAAAACTTCAGCTCAAAGAGGAAAATATTGGAAAAACGCTGTTTTTGGAAACTTGCGCAGACTTTCGTTAAAACTGGCAAAAAGATACATCATTAGATGCAGTTTTCTACGTTGATTCCGAATATGTCCTTAGTTTTTAGATAGGATGTTTCCTAGCCGAGAAAAACAGAAAATACCGCTGAAAAACTAGGTTTCTTGTAAAACCTATAACTTTGCAATGGAAAAAAATGGCATGTTTCTGCAAGTTTTGTAGATGCACTACTTATAGGAGAATATTCTTTGAAAGCTTCATTGCGTTTACCCGTTAGCAATAATTAGCGCGTTCACTTTACTAAATACGTGTTTTGGAAAAATCTTTGAGAAAAACACCTAGCATAGCAAAAAAGCAATTTTTACTGAGCAGAAAAGGCATGAAGGAGAAACTTTTTTTAAACCGATAGGTTACAGCCTCAGCTTTCAGAAGATCTGTGTCAAAGTTTTTAATAACACTGCCTTGTGAAACAGAAAAGCGGTTTTCCTAAACGTATCGCAAAAACT